CCGCGGCCGCTGAGCTTCCTTCCATCTCGGCTGCTTCTCTCCCGACTGGGGGTCTCGCTGCTGGCTCGCTCTTATCTGGGGCTCCCGAGATCTCGATGGGCGGGCCGTCTTTCGCGATTGGGGGGATGTCCGTGTTGACAGGAGTGTCGTCGTTGACCCCAGGGGGTGCTCTGCCAATCTCAACTGAGGGTCTGGAGAGCTCCATCGGGGGGCCGTCGCCCACGAAGTTGCAAGGAGCTCTGACAGCCTCTCGGGATGGGCTGCCGAGGGTGACTGCGGCCCGCAGGGCAGGCGCATCCGCGGCGGGAGCGAGGCGGACTGAATCCGGGACCGCAACAGCCTCGGGGTGGCTGCCACAGTCGACTTGTGGGACAACTCGGGGGAGCCCAGGGGGTGGGCTGTCGTCCCCAAATGCTTCTCCCTCAAGTTCGAATGGCACAGCCTCCTCAGGGGGAGGGCTGCGTCTTCCTCTGAAGCCCGCGTTCTCAGGACCGCAGGATCGCGGCTCCACGGGAGGAGCTCCGGGGACCGCTGCACACGGACTTCCTGGAGCAAGGTCTGGGACCTGCAGGACACGCTGGCCACGGCCTCCCTGCGCACGCTGGTCAAACTCAAACGGCATAGCTTCTTCTGGTGGAGGGCTGTAGCTTCCCCGCACTGGTCTCTCACCATCGGATGCTCCGGGCTCCGTGAGCGCTGAACAGAAGGCCCCCAGGCCTGCAAGGGCCCCGTCGGAGGATCCAGGCTGCTTCTGGGTGGGCCAGAAATCGCCGCCGCCGCCGGGCTGCTCGACCTCAAAGGGCATGGCTTCTTCAGGAGGTGGGCTGTAGTTTCCGCAGACTCCGTCTTCCTCGACTGCCTGGACGTCGGGGATGGAGACCTCAGGGGGTCCGCAGGCCTCTCCTTCGACCTCGACGGGGACGGGCTCATTGGGAGTCGGTTGGGCCGCCATCTCTTCGGCTGGGCCAGGCCCAGCACCGGGGGCAGCTGCCCCTGGGGCCGCCAAAGGTTGTTGTTCAGGCTGCCCCCCGATTTCAGGGGGGATATCGCGTTGTCCTGGCATATTATTGCCGTGGAGGCAGTTGCGCATGCCCATAACACGGTGGCGACCTTTAAAAATAAATTGGCGCCCCGTAAGACGGAGCACCCAACCAAACTAGGGTGAAAAAAATTATTTTCAAAAAATGTCAAAGTACCAGCTGGAAAGTTTCTCAGCCTCAGTCTCCAACCCTTGCGAGGTTGGGGTGGGATACCAAACCGTGGCAGAAGCAACTCAATTCTCGCCAGTGGAGTCTTGGCTCTTCCGCATCATCTTAGCGTCCTCAGGATGCCCTCTGGCCGCTCACCCCTTGCTTCCTCTTCTCTTCCTCTCTCTTTTCCAGGTCAGCTGCGCCTGCCTGGATCTGAGGAGCGCGCCGATTCGGCCCGAAAATCGCCAGCAGCGCTTTCTCTCGGCCGCCAGAGGACGCAGGTTCCAGTGCCGAGCCGGCTCCGGCTCCGGCTCCGGGCGCCAGCAGCTCCAGACTTTGGGTAAGGGGGCTGGTGAGCGCCAGGCTCTCAGGGACAGTTCTGCTCCTCCCTCTCCTCTCCCCGACTGATTTGGAGCGTTTATCCTCGCTTCTCCCCTGGTCAGAACGAAAGCGCTCCTGCGTTGTGTGACACGTGATGCAAGACGTGGGCCTCTCGACGCTGGAGAGTGGGAGCTGAAATCCTCCCTCCCCAGCTGACTCTCCTCGGGGGGAGAAGGGGGGACTGCAGGAAGCTTTTATCACCCTAAGAATATCCTTGAGCCCCGTGGCCAAAGCCCCAGCCCCAGACAGCCCCCAGTCGTGAGCCCCAAGTCCAGAAAATGAGACTTTAGACGCTTGAGAAGGGGATGTAGGCGCGCGGGTGCCGGGATGCGACAGGTGGTCGTGAGCCCACTGGAGGGTAGAGAAGACGAGGGGCGAGGGGCGAGGGGCTAGCCAGTGAGAGCGCACGATTTGTTTTTTTTTAAATGCCCTGGGGTACTTTCTGACGCTTCGGTATATTTTGTTTACCATTTGTCGTTTGCTGAGGTGGGCTCCGGTAACGCACGTCAATGTCCCCCAGCCCCACCACACTGTGGGGTTCTCGGCACTGGCGCAGGAAAGCACAGGCAGGGCTCTCCCTCGTTTCTGTGGGCAGTGACGCAGGAAAATAAGAGGGTCTCGCGGGCCGCAGAGAAGTAAAACCCCCAGGCTGTTGCCCCGGAAGCATCAACGCGGGGGGGGGCCTGGGGGGGCCCTGGGGGGCAGAACTCAGATTTCTGCATCCCGGCGAAGGGTTAAAGGACATTTTGGTTGGTGTTCACGGTGGATTTAAGGTGGTCTTAAAGACTGCATACTTAACCCAAAGAGAAACCGTGCCGCGCCGGCAGCGGCAGCG